AATTCTGGGAGTTGAAGTCCACTCACCTTAAAGTGGCCAAGTTTGGACAACACTGACTTAGGTGTTAAAGAGCTTTGGGGTTTTAGTGGGATCCGTAGTTTGCAAATTCCCAGACAAGTGTAACGATGCATCACGGGCTAACGTGCAACTCGAAATGCAGCTGTTAGTGGACTCGGCTTTTCTTGAACATTTGGGCCTAGTTTTGCTCACCTTGTTTGTAAGAGAGGTGAACTTGAAGCAGAGCTTAAAAAGGCGATGTGATGGAGTGATTTTCCTGTCCTTTAGGTTGGGGTGCTCCTTTGCAAACCCTCTGGCATTTCAGTTTTAGAATTATTTATTCATTTATCTTGCACCTCGAAGGTGGCTTAGGGTAAGTCTCTCCTGATTTTATCCCAACAACGACAACCCTGAGAAGTAGGTGGGGCTAAGAGTGAGTGGTCCAAAGCCATCCCAGCAAAAGGGGCTGAATTTGGATCAGTTCAGCCCCACATCTTAATCCCTGTTCCGTCCTGACTCAGATGGCTTTCTTTGTGGTGCCTTTTCCTTTCTTTGCCCTCACTGACCCTGCCTTTACTTGCTTATCCTGCATTTTCCGTCCTGGGGAGTCAAGCAACTTACTACTTATTTTGCCATTTTACAAAAGAAATGCAAGGAAAACAGTGTACAGTCACCGATTAAAAAGTGAAAGACACGTCCAAATTAATTAATTATAACTTCATAATACCACAGCAGACAAGCAAATAAGAACATAAAGCAAATGCACCAATAAACCCCCTCTAAAAATTAACATTCTAAACTGATATAAATAATTTAAATATATATTCATTTAATCATTTTATAACAATGTATCAAATTACACCTAACCATTTTGAGCCTTCTAAGATGTGAAATCTGTGGCAATATCCTTCAAGTTGAATTCAAGCTTGCATCCATCTCCAATTTTCATTACAAATGTAGTTTTTAGGAGGAATGTTTCTGCCCAATTAAAAGTCCCACAGAGAGGTTTCATCTCCACCAGCAATTAAATGATCAAAAGACATAGTACGTTTTGAAAAGCAGCTATGAGTTGTTTCATGGAGGCATTTATGAAACTGCTGATGCATCAAAACTCAAGCCCAACTTGTCCAGCAGCCTGTCCTCCCAGTGGGCCACCAACTGCCCAAGGAAGCCCACCCGTCTCCCAGCAGATGGCCTTCAGAGGTGGTCCCATGACATCCAGGCTAAGAGCCACGGATCCCCAGGACTTCCATGCATTGGTCCAACCCTTTTGTGAAGCCAGCCAAGCTCCATGAGTCCACCAGCAAGCTTTCTCCTGGCTTCCTCAAAGCTCTAATGCTTTCACGTCCAGCATCTTAGTCTATAAACATCTTGCTCAGATAGTGTCTGATTGCTGGTTGGAGCTTCTCTGTTTGTCTCCTACCCCTGATCTTTGCCTTTACTTCCAAACTGGTTGAGCAGGAATTTGTCTGGGCTTTTCTTGAGGTCATGCAAAATGGTGTCAGGCAGGATTAGCCCTTGGTGGCGATCTGCAAAAATAAGGTTGTATGGTGAGAGCTGCAACAGCTTTTTCACCTTACATCCCAATGTTCGGGGGCTCTTTACAGCCCATTGCTTATATAATGAATATTTGGAGTGGCTTATGGGCTGAAAATCCATACTCAGTGTATTGATTGACGTCTAATGCTGGGGGGTGGCTTAGCTGGGACTTAGTTGTTACTTCTGATAAGTTTACATAGGAAAAGAAATCCTCTGTTCCAGTTAACTGCAATTTTCAGCTGTGGCCCAATGATGGCTTAAAGCTGGCTTCTTCCCCTAAAGCTATGTTCTCCAGAAGGTGCATGAGGATTGCAAGATTAGGACTGGTTCACCAGAATGTGTAAACTCATGCTTGGTTCTACCATGGTTTATGGAATGAACCACAACTGGCTGGGTTCATGAAACATGCTAATTCATAAATTGTGGTTTGCGAATCCAATTTTATTTCATGGGCTGGTCCAGAACCAACCAAATTCCATTCTTGCTCAATGTGGTGAACCTATCCATTGGGCTGAATGAATTGCCTAGGTTTTGAACTTCTGCCCTGGGACTTGTTGTCACCCTTATAAAAAAAAGCTGAATTGTGACTTGTGGTTGGCTCCTACCAAAGGACATCCTTTTATCTGAGGCTTCTGCACATCTTTTGCAGCTTCTGTCCAGTTATAAAATACAGTGAACTAAGCCCAGACGTGGCTTATCTCTTGGTGACGATGGTTGAATTTAAGTCTCAAAGTCTCCAAAACAATTTCCTTGAAACGAGAGCTGTGCTCTGTAATCCTGGCCCTTCTCAGTTTGCAGAGAAACCCCACATCAGAGCTTCCTGAGGCTCAATTATTCTGGTGAACCCCTAAGTGCTCCTTAAAGGGGGTTTTCCTTCCCTGGGGCTGGTGGGAAATTTTGCAGTAGGAATAGTTAATCTTCAGGATGCCCTTCTCCTCCTGGGAAGCCTTTTCTTGCCAAATGGATCTGGCAGCCTGGAATTCTGCTCTGCCTTTGTAGATTCTGGTCCTTCCGCTCTGAGAAAGCGCGTGCCCAGAAACGTCCCGTGTTTTCTGCCCAAAGTTGATGGCTGTGAGTTTGACTCGTGAAATGGCCCCAGTCAGAGGCAGGGAGAGCCACGCTTCTCTTGCAGATGGGACTTTGATTCAAAAAATAAAGGATTTTTTTGCAACACAAGAATTTCACTTCTCTTCCTTTTTTAACTCTTGTTTTCTAGTTCCTATTTTCTAACTCCGCTTCCCTATTTTCTGTATTCCTATCGTAACTTATTTTCGGTTCTGTCCTGTCTGTGATTCCTATCATTTCTCGGCCTTCTGGCTAACATCAAGTGTTGTAGTACTACTCTATCGTTCTGCAGACTGTTATTCTAAGGTCTCCATTTTTCCATTCCTGTCTTCTTCTACTTTAACCTTGCTTTGACCTTTCCTGGCTTGATCCCTTCTTTTATTTTTCTGGGTCTTGCAGGCTCAGGTCTGCTCTCTTCAGCCTGCTCTGCCCAGAAACACTTGCGTGGCCTCCTGATCACTGGGTCCATGTTGGGTGGAAGGTTGTGGGGTCTCATTTGCTGCTCCTCAAAGGCTGTTCATCCAGGTCTTTTGGGGGGTTGGTGGCATGACATGGCCACCACTGGGGACGGATGTCTCTTGCGTTCTGCAAATGACTATCCCCAGGAGTTCAGCTGACATCATTCAGGTGCTCAATGTTCTCTACAGATATGCTACACTGTTTTCACCACTCAGTTACCTACTGTTGCTCCTTGATTGTCACCTCTAGTTTCTTCTGCTCCAAAAGCTTCTTTCTTCTTTTCTTCTCCCTTCTTCTTCCATCACCATGACTTCCTCTGTAGGCAAGACCCTTTTTAAAGGGTGGGCTTGCCAGATTAGCTTATGGAGCAGCCCTTAAAAGAGAGGAAGTTGGGAGAGACCCAGAGGCCTCCATGGTCTCACATCTTCCCATATATGTTCTTTCCTTCTTCAATGGATCACCCAACTTCCACCTGCTAGGCCCTGGGGACAGCTAACGTAAAGTTTGTTATCTTTTGAGGACACAGAACGTAGCTATGGTACAGTTAGGAGATGGTGTGTTTCTCTCCAACCTTGTTTGTGGCACCAAGACCTCTCAATTGCTTTAGATGGTACAAAGGCTGGTAAGGCACGTGTGAGGTGGCTGGAACAGTTCACTAAAAACATGTACTCTTTCCCCGTTGTTCGTGCATGTTGCACGCGGTGGACAGCCAGTCAAACCAGTGCCAAGGACCAAAGGTTAAAGCTTTTAGCCTGTGTGCTAAGTTCCCGAGATAAAATATCTCCAGGAGGATGATGTAATGACTAGCCCTCATGTAACTTTCCAGTTTGCTGGGAGTAGGGAGGGAGCAGAGCCTGAGGGATCCCCCCCCCCCAGATTGGCAGTCTTCAAAGAAAGGATTGGGAACTAGCAAAGTGTCCTCTAACTCAGTGCTTCTCAACCTTGGCAGCTTGAAGATGGGTGGACTTCAACTCCCAGAATTCCCTTGCTGGCTGGGGAATTCTGGGAATTGAAGTCCACCTATCTTCAAGTTGCCAAGGTTGAGAAACACTGCTCAAACATCTTGGACCTTTTGTTTTCCCAAGGAGATCTGGCTGCAAAGAAAAAGTGAGGTTATTTCAGTAAACAGGTTGTGTGTGGTAAGGACACCAGATTCAATGGGGAAGCCCTGGCCCCCCCTTGCCATCAGGCTGAGTTTTTAAACCCCGGGAGTTTCCATCCTCAGAAACAGAAAGTTCATGGCAGGCTTCTTCCCCAGCTCCTAACTGGGAATGTGGATTTTCAGCATTTGAAGCCTGTGATAATATTCTGTTTAGAAGAGTCAGGGTTGGAATAGCTTCCCCAGAGTTTGGTGTCATGCTTAGCAACAAATAGCAATGAGAAGATAAGGCACCAATGTTAAAACGATAGCAGAAATTGCTCTAGGAATCACGTCCTCTCTCCTAAACCCATGTTGTCAGCCCTTCGAGGTAGACCAGCTTAGGAAACCAAAGTCATGCAGAGGAGTGCTACTTTTATTATAAGGTTATGGTAACAGAATCTTGCAAGTCTGATTGTGCCTCCCTCTCTTTATCTTCAAGAGAACTAGGGAAGGTCAAGTCTGAGGCGCTTTCTCAGATTACATTTCTGCCTCAGACTCAACTTTCTTTTATCTGACCACAATCTGCAGGCATGGAGTTGTTATGCAGAGTGCAGCTATAAACACAGTTCATGCCAAAAATACACACCAGCGTTAGAGAGATTGAAAGAATGCAATGTCCTTATCTTGTTCTCCAAAGAAATCCAGCCAGAAAATATAAAATATCGGGTTGTTTATTGCAGGTATAAACACAGTTCATGCCAAAAATACACACCAGCGTTAGAGAGATTGAAAGAATGCAATGTCCTTTTCTTGTTCTCCAAAGAAATCCAGCCAGAAAATATAAAATATCGGGTTGTTTATTGAGAAAAATGCAAATCTACATAAAATACAAGTTTCATGCAAAAACATAGAAAAAATCACTTCTTCTCATCTATGTGGCATCCAAGATTTATCCACTAT